TCTATCTATCTATCTATCTATCTATCTATCTATCTATCTATCTATCTATCTCTCCTTGTTTTAAGGACAGGCTCTCATGTAGTCCAGGCTATCTTTGAACACTCTTTTATCCCTGAGGATGACCGTGAACTATTGATCCTCCTACCTCTATCCATCAAGGTCTGGGATCACATATATGTGCCTCTGTGGCTGGCAACCACTTGGTCTTGACTAGATGAAAATGGACCGCAATCATTTCTAGAGCCAAGGAGTGCCTGGGGATAGTGACAAGCAGCTGAGGCGAAGAGGACAAACGCATCCACGAAAAGCTGGCAACCTTTGTTCTGCCCGAAGTGCATAGCCTTTTATGACTTTCTCTTCCAAACAGCATGCAGTATTCCACCCCTCCTCTCGTGATGATGGGAAGTGTAGGGTGGTGGGAAGGAGGAACTTCAGAGCCTAAAATCGGAAGGTTGAGTGGATTTGGTGCCTGCACGCTGCGATTCACTGGGGCCTTAAGGCTTGGGGATATCCTGTGCTTTAGGTACGGTTTCTCCATCACAGTGTATTGACCTGAACCTCTCCTTGGAAATATGCGCCAACATTCCCTTGAGAGAATTGCTTCTGAAAGAGGCGGATGCAAAGGTGATGATGAACTTATGATGCTGGTAAGTACTGAAATATCTGTGGCTCAGTACATCATTGCCCAGCCTCACTGAATGTCATCCTGGCCATAGTACCCTAGTTTTACTTCTGGGACCCTTCCCAGGTCTCCCCCTAATGCCTAGCACTTCAGGAACCCCAGAACTTGACTGAGCAACTGCAGTGTTTCTGGAGCCTCACCAGTGGCCAGAATGCTGCACCCCAGTCCTGGACATGGGTGTGATTAGTCTTTGAGCCTCAGAGAGACTCCCTGGTGTCTTCCCATCTTTTGGGTAGCAAGGATCCTTGATTACACTCTGAGTTTGTGTGGAGGAGGCCAGACACAGAGACTCACCAGCCTCTGCTCCCAGACTCACCAGTCCAAGTTATGAAGTTCTGAGCCATTTGAGAGACCAAAGCTGTTTTTAATCTTACCTTCCAAACCCTTTCCTTCCACAGACCAGTGTGGAGCCCAGAAGCTTTCAGCATGGACACCAGTCTCTGCTCTGGCCCTTCCTGACTCCGTGACCCTAGGCAGGACACTTGACCTCTCTGTACCACAGTTTGCTCTTCTGCAAAGAATTGATGTTGGACCCTGTTCCCTCTAGCCAAAACAAGAAGTGGATTTTGGTCCTCAAATTTCTTTCATTAGACCTTTCTATCAGTGGGCAAACCACATACATGTCAAGAAGAGTAAGAAAAAATACTGCCTGTTAAGGAACAATGCCTGAGCGCGCAGTTTTGTATTTTGTGACTTTTTGGTTATTGGTTGCTGTCTTTAAGATTAAGAAGATGTAAGTCTCCCGAGTGATAACAATTTTATTTCCTGGGTTTAATTTCTAGGTGCAAGAGGGGACAGAAAGACTCCACTTCTACTTCAGAGTCAATACCAGTATAATCTAAGCACTAACATACAAAGAAAGCCTCTTTGCCAACATGCTCCCTGCATGAGTTGACATGGACTCGTGTCACATGGTACGGTCAATGAGGATGACGGGGGTTAAAATACTGTCTACGACACACACACCTGGGTGTTGAGGCACACACCCGGAATCCCAGCATTTGGGAGATGGAAGCAGGAGAATCACAAGTTCAAAGTCATTATCAGCTACACAGTGAGTTTTAGGCCAGTCTGGACTACGTGACCTGTCTCAGAACCACCACCACCCAGAATAAATAAAGAGGAAACAAGAAGTAAATGAAGGAGAACACTGAGCTCACTGCTGTTTGCTGCTGCTGGGAGAGAGTTGCTTTGTATTCAGTAAGGACAGAAGAATGGTTCTCTGTGCACACTGGGTTCTGACCCGGCTTGCATGTCAAAGTGTTTCCGTGCTGTGTTCTTGATAGACAAGTGGCTGTGCTGACACTCAGGGCCACGGACAAAATCTTTTTTTTTTTAATGATTTTTTTCTGGATTCTTATGGTTCTTTTGCTTGAGTTTGTCTATCCCAATTATCCCTATAAGCAAAAATCCTACTAGATCTGACTTTGGCTTTAGGAATTGCAGTCCAGCTCACTTTAATTTTAAAGAAAAATTTAAGCTGAAAGATGCAACAGTGCTTTGACTTAGGAATCTGAAGAGTTATTCCTATTAAGCATTCTTGCTAACCCAAGAGCTAAATACTGACATATATCACTTCTCTAAGCACTAGTGTAGTTACTCAAGCCCATGAACACGTTCAGGTCTTTCAGCAGCTTAGCCTCAGACAGGGCCTTATGCTGAAGACCTGTCAATCATTTGGTGACATCGGAGGGTCAGCCTGGACTGTCCTGTCACACCCCCTTGCCAACCCACCTCCTTCCTACGGAGCCTCCTAAAGCCCATGGGAGCATCAGTACTGGAGAGAGGCTCAGCGGTAATGTCAGACACCTACTCTCAGGATGTCTCTGCCTGGAGACTTCTTACTACGCTGCAATCATCACTCAACTCCCAGGGGACACTTCTCCAGTGATGATCAGACCCTGGTGACATTCCTCCAGTGATGATCAGACCCTGGTGACACTCCTTCAGTGATGATCAGACGCTGGTGACATTCTTACAGTCATGTCCAGACCCCGGTGACATTCTTCCAGTGATATTCAGACCCTGGTGACATTTCTCCAGTGATGTTCAGACCCTGGTGACATTCCTCCAGTGATGTTCAGACCCCGGTGACATTCTTCCAGTGATATTCAGACCCTGATGACATTCCCCAGTGATATTCAGACCCCAGTGACATTCCTCCAGTGATGTTCAGACCCTGGTGACACTTCTCCAGTGATGTTCAGACCCTGGTGACATTCGTCCAGTGATGATCAGACCCTGGTGACACTTCTCCAGTGATGATCAGACCCTGGTGACATTCCTCCAGTGATGTTCAGATCCTGGTGACATTCTTACAGTGATGTTCAGACCCTGGTGACATTCCTCCAGTGATGTTCAGACCCTGGTGACATTCGTCCAGTGATGATCAGACGCTGGTGACTTACAGTGATGTTCAGACCCTGGTGACATTCCCCAGTGATGATCAGACCTTGATGGACTCACCTTCTCCTTAAGGCACACAAGATGACTATGAGCAAATAGAAACTTATGAAAATTGTAGACACGAAAAGCTTTGGGAAAGCAAAAGAGAAAGAGACACAAAGGGGACCCCAAAACAGTTGGTTCTCTGTGCTCAGTACCTCCTGTCACCTCCACCTTCACTGGGGAAACCTACCTCAACCATTCTGTTGGCCTCAGACTGTGACCCATGGACTTGAGCGCTTCCTTCCCAGCTACCTCAGCTTCTCTCTCTCTAGGCAGAAGCCCACTGCTCTTAGATGACAGATACTCTGAGCATCTGTCTCTTTGAGGGACGTTCAACTCTGCCACAGTAGAGTCTTAATCCATGCCCTCCACAAGATCAAAAACTGCCTGGATTCATTGTCTCAGCTTCCCACGAGACAGACAAGAGGACTGGGCCCTTTAAGGAATATCAGGACCGAACTCAAATTCTTTCGATAATGATGTTTCTCCCTGTTTTGACGCTTTGTTTTGAGACAAAGTCTCACTATGAAGCCCAGGCTGGCCTTAAATTCACTACCGTCTAGTGTGGCCTGGAAGTCTGGGCCCTGTCTCAGCCTCCTGAATGCTGGATATGGGCAACACCTTCACACCCAGCTCGGCTCTCACTGTTTTCTGTGTTTACAGCATATTTGTAGTTTTAGGATTTTTTTGGTTTGGTGCATGAGAAGAGTTGAAAGTTAACAAGTCAGCAATACTTATGCAGTGATGACGTCACTGGGCCAGCATCTCATACTGACTGATTTGCTCACACGGCTGTAACTGAGTACAGTGACATGCTCACCTGACTGGTTACGTCAGTTCGTCCAAGCCCAGTTCTCCCTGGTTTTGATTTGATGCTGTCATGGCTCCATGTCCCTCTCCCAACAAGTTGCCCCTTTAAATCTTGGGGCTTCTGTCCATCTCGGCTCTGATCCATCTGACAGATGTCATGTTGACAGCACACTTAGATGTCACTACAGTGAGGCTTGCACGCTGTTCAAGAACTGTTTCCGTGTTTCTGGAACTTTCTCTGGCACACCAAAGTGCCATTAAGACCCTAGTGGACAGATGTTCAACACTATTAGAGTGGCTTGAATAATCAGAATTTTTCTGTTATGTATTTTTAGTAAATCTTATTATCAAATCTATACGCTTGCTTCTGTACACACACACACACACACACACACACACACACACAAGCACACACACATTTGCAGGGGGGATGCGTAAAAATATTTACATTTACATTTTCCTCATGTGTGCGGGTTTAGAGTTCTGTGTGTATGTTTGCCATGAGCAGTGTGTCAAGGAAAGCTGGCTAACATAAAAATCTACACATCAGATGTCCTCCATGTGGAACCTTGGGTCTTGTGGTGTCGCTACTCAAAGCAATGGGGGAATGTTTTTCTGTGGATTTCCTGTTCCTGAAAAACTACACAGTTGAAAAAACAATCCTTCCTTTCATTTGAGTGTTTCCTACATGCCAAGGTCAGAGGAGGCCCTGTAGGGACTGCTCCCATTTCCCACCCTCTTCTTCCCACCTTCAGGGTCTGGCCATTCTGAGTGACTGAAGCCCATCCCACATTAAAACAGCAAGGCATACAGCTATGTCCAGTTTGAACTCACACCCAAAGTGCCCTGCCCTCTGGGCAAATTGCAGGCACACCACAAAGAATGTTTTGGTAAATGTTTTGGTTTTTTTTTCTTTTGCCTGAGCTTACATGTCAGCTGGCCATTCTCTCCCCGTGCCAGGCTTCCCCGGATTCTGCTCTCCTGCCAGACTGGAGGCTCCGAAGTCTGGCAACCAGGAGCTCAAGCATGGGAGAGATAGTGAGGTGGTTTTTGTTACACTCAAGTTTCATTGCGGTCCAGGGGTTGAGCAGCTTGCTGGGGGCCACAGCCAGTCTCTGACAAATGAGAAACCAGTTCGTTAACTGCTGTTCAGTGTAGCCAGAGGCTCTCCTGTCCCGCCTGGCAGTCCCAGGACATCCCACATCAGTTCGAAGAGTTAATATGACAAAGCAGTTATTTGAGGAACACGGACATCAACATGAGTTTCTCATGATGTTCAGGAGAAGACCTGTTTTCTTCAGCCACCTACTTTCTGTCTCATCTCGCATGACTGAGAATTCTAGAATCTTGGTTCCATTGAGTGTTTCCTACATGCCAAGGAAACAAGCTTGTTGATTGACAAGCTCTGTAGCCCAGGCTGAACAGGACTCGCCTATGTAGCCGAGGATGACCCTGAGCTTCTGATCTTCCTGCTTCCACCTCCCGAGTGCTGGGATTACGGACATGTGTTCATTATTGAAAACCATAAGAATGCAAAGTTTGTGACAATTTGGATACAAACACAGAATTCCTCTGGAATAATAACCTCAAAATAATAAGCATTATTTTCAAAATGACAAACATTTGTAAAGGAAATTATTTTTCAAAAATAAGGATAGCTGGGCAGTGGTGGTGCACACCTTTAATCCCAGCACTTGGGAGGGAAAGGCAGGCAGAACTCTGTGAGTTCCAGGTCATCCTGGTCTACAAATCGAGTTCCAGGACAGTCAGATCTGCAACACAGAAAAACCCTGTCTCAAAAAATAAATAAAATATAAACAAAGCAACAACAACAAAAACTCAGGATAGTAATCGTCCCTTAACGACAGGGAAGGATAATGTTACAAGATCTCCAATTGTCGTCTGAAACCTCATAGTTTCAAGCCCTGTACTGACATTTTTTTCTAATTTTATACAGCTATGCTTAGGAACTCTTCTTATAGTTTCAAGTCCTATAAGTCCTGACATTTTCCCTAAGCATTTACTCCTATGGTAAAATGACTAAATTAGGCATAGTAAGAGACTAACAGTAATCTCTACTAATAAAACACTAATGTTGTAACAAAAAATTGCACTCCTGCCGTCTCTCAAAATATTATATTGTTTGACTCAGTAACTTTGGTAGGCTTTTTATTTTCTTTCCCTAAGTTAAAAATTTTCTCTTTTTAACTCGAAGTCAGCACTGACGGCTTACTTTTGGCACAGTCTAATGGCCAATATCACCACTTTGGAGCTTAGGATCATTATGAAATAAAACAAGGGTCACTTAGGCTTAAACACTGTATGGCGGTGAGAGTCAGTCGTAACTGAGGTGGCTACTCATGACTACTCGGAGGAGTGGCGTATACAGTATGGGAATATTGGTTAAAAGGATAAGCCACATCCCAGGCGGGACCCAGTAGAAAAGATGCAAGTGTTCTTCCTGTTGACCGGGGTAGCATATAACACAAAACTTAAGAAATGTGTATTTCTGGAATTTTCTATTTACTATTTTCAGACCTTGACTGACTGCAGGTGTAACTGAAATTGGTAACTGAGAAGCCACATTTGGAGGGCCCACTGAGGTCAAGAAAATTAAGAATTTCATTGAAATGGCATCAGGTTCTAGCTGGAGCATCTAAGTCCACAGAGGAAAGAGCACAGCCTGCTTGAGATATGTAACTACACAGCAGCCTAAAGCCCAGTGTCTTGTGATGGCTCCCATGAGTGTCGGCAACATCAATTTTGATTTTAAGCCCTCCTATAAATATGGGACCACTTAAACCAGCCGTACTGATGACCTAGGAGTGCTGGGAGACGCCCAAGGCCAGGTCCACTTTGACATGTTAAATAAGCACCCCAGCCATTTGTCCCAGGTCTGAAACTGGTGTGGGAGAATTGTCTGTATTCTGTCAATCATATTTTAATAAAAAGCTGATTGGCCAGGCAGGCAGTATAGGCGGAAAAACCAGACAGGAAGTAGAGGTGATGCAATGAGAACAGGAGAATTCTGGGAAGCAGGGAGGTTCCTCTGCCACTCCTGCGCAGATCACCGAAGAGGCAGCATGTAACATGTCCAGCTGAGAAAGGTACAGAGCCATTGTGGCTAACATAGATGAGAATAATGGGTTAATATAAGTTATAAGAGTTAACAAGAAGCCTAACCTAATGGGCCAATCAGTTTATAATCTTATGGAGTCTTGTGTGTGATTTTCTTTGGGACTTGCCGGCTGTGGAGTACTAGGTGGGACAGATACCCCAACAAGCTGGCCCCCGTCATGTTACATGAAACGAAACGGTACCTGCCATTATTTATTTGAATTGTATTGGATGTAATATTACTTTATTTTTTTGGTGCTGGGGATTGGACTCAGGCCTGGAGCACGCCAAGAACCTCCTCCACCTCTCAGCTGCACCGCCCACCACAGGTACCTTGTCCTCGAGGAAGCGTTGTAGTATTTCTTATGGTGTTTTACAAATGCAAGTCTGTTGCCAGAGAAGCCCGGGTGGCGGACAGAGCTTTACCGCATCAACAGGGCCCTCCCTTGCGGACAACAACCCGGTGGAACCAGTCTAAGGGGAAGAGGAGCTATTAAAGAATATCACACAGCTCATAGAATCACCGAATGGAGCCAGTCTTTGAAGCTACAAGACGTGAAACAGTTCAGCCAAATATAACACATGCAGAAGAGTGTGTAGTTGGACCTGGACCAGGTTCCTAGAACATCTGCTGTGATAGGGACGGGAGAACAGACAGACCTCCACAACAACCTAGGGTGAGCCTGTGTTTCTTCCACCCTCTGCGGGCACGGCCCCCGCTTCACTTTGCACCCCTCTCCAAGCCTCTCCCTGGGGCAGAGCTGGGGTGAGGGAGAACTTGGGTCTCCTACCCTTAAATCAGAAGTGTGGGTTTCTTTTCCTTCTGGCCTAGAGTGAGGTAGGAAGGAAAACCAGGAAGGGTTTGGAATTGAAGGGGAATTGAATTCTCCAAATGCCTTTCAAACTATGAGAGCTGGTTGCATTTTCAAAGGTGGGCAGAGAATGGAGGTCAGCAAACCACCTACCGATTTGCAGTGGGGCTACTGTAGCTGCGGAATATAGGAATATAGATTGGTTTTGCACTGCGTTTGTGTGGCTTTTCCTTTTAAGTTAGACGCCTGCATGTTGGGAATGATCAAGATGACTGGGGT